GTGGTACTTGTCGTAGGCACTGTGGTGGTACTTGTAGGCGCGGTCGTGGTAGTTGTCGTGGTCCTGCTGGTCGCCACCACGTGCTCGATGCACTCGCAGCCGCAGAGCTCCCAGCTCCAATGGCTGGGGATTTAAAATTATATGTGATAAAAGCCCAAACCCAAGATTGCCCGTTTTACGAAATGATTTGCATTTTTAAGTAACGTACATACTGGAAGCTCTACCCATAAGTGTGAAATAAGACCGTATTTGTGGATTAAAATCCATATTAACAACCAGCAATGACAGTTGCGACAAAATAAGGTCTGTACGTTTACATTCCATTTTAGAGTGAATTCTTTACGATTGATTGTGCATTTTCATCATTACAATTGTAGTGCACCGCCCAGTGAGAAATGAAATATCAGACCTATATCGAAACGATATCGAATATCAGATATGTGTCAGTTTCAGGACCATCTCAGTATCGAAGTGGTACGAAAATTGACAAATGATATCGTTCTGATATCAGTCCGTAATTTCATTTCTCACTGGGCGCACGCTTTCTCCCGGTAGCACGTGTCGAACAGGTCGCGCGACTCCTGGTCCAGCCCAACGCGCACGCGCACGCCCAGGCAGCCGCAGCGGCAATTCCAGCTGCACACCGTCTGGCACTTATCGTTCCAGAAGCACTCGTCGCACTCCCTCTCTGCGCACTGCAACACGGGGGCAGGTCAGTCAGCGGGGCAGAGCAGGGCTGGCTCCCTCCCGCTCCACCACAGACTCACCTGCCGTTCGGTGTGACATTTCTTCACCTCGGCAGAATCCACCATGAAAGGATCCACAAAGCGGCGGTGGCGGCCAGCGGTGGCTTCCGGCTCCGGCGGGGCGCACGGCCCGGGGTGGGCGGCGCCGAGTCCTGGAGACAACGCAACTCATTGTAGAGCGAGCCTATCGCGCCGGAGCTGCAGGCCGCATAGGCAGGCGAGGGCTCACCGGGCAGGCCGGCGCACTGCAGCTCGCACTCGCTGGCGTAAGTGCGGCCGTCACTGCCGCACACGGAGGAGTCCTCGGAGGAGGGCGGGCAGGGGCAGAGCGCGGCCAGGGCGGCCGGCAGCAGCAGCAGCACGGCGGATTGCATCGCGCTGGACAACATCTGGAGCAGGGGCACGGTGTGTTGCCGGGCGCGAGGAGCTGCACCCGTCCGTCCAGTACCGGCTGTCCGTAAGAATACGCGGCAGCTCGATGGGTTGCCTACGCACTAGCGTGCAGGCGCGGAGGGCGAGGGGGGAGCGGTGGAGGTGCGCACCATCCAGCGCACCATCCAGCGAATTCCGAACAGACTATAGAGGCACCGTTTAGGAACAAACTATTTTTCAAAGAATGTAAAAAGAGGGAGTACCCACCCCGCTTTTACACGGGGCCCCGAGTGCTTAACTTCGGAGTTCGGATGGGATCCGGTGTGTCCACGCTCTGGATGGTGCGCACCTCCACCGCTCCCCCCTCGCCCGCCGCGCCTGCACGCTAGTGCGTAGGCAACCCATCGAGCTGCCGCGTATTCTTCAAACACCCGGTACAATTGCGCACCCGGTGCAGCTAGAATGTCCGACCTATTTTTCTCCGACCTGGTAATTTTTCCAAAATCCCTAAAAGTGCTGTCCGACCTAATTTTCTCCGGCCCCGTCGATATGCTGAAATTTGAGTAGAATGTGCTTTAAAGAGTATCAGGCTTCAAAAATAAAAAATAAAAATGGGGGAGTACTTTCCTCATCCCACCGCAGTAGTTAGCGAACTGTGGTCACTGTTCCGAACAGCCGCTTCCAACCGCAGTGGTCAGAACATACTCCCGGGGTTTGTGAGACGGTTGAGGCGTACGTTGGTTAAACTGTACTGACC